GGTATATCAGTTCCTTTTTGAATCCCAAGATAAAAAAGCCCGGAGAAACAAGAGACAGACCAAGAAGCATAAACAACTAGCCAATTAAAGGAATCAAAGAAAGAGAAACTTCTACTTCCACTTCAACAACTCTAATCACAAAAAATATGGCGGAATCATAAGTCATTAACAATAGTGGGGAGCCGTATCACAGCAGCCCAAGACGGTTAACTTGTCTCACTACCACTCCCAACAATAGACAAGTTGAAATGAAGACGGGATTACTGCAAATCATCAATGCAAATCCATTTGCAGGGTTAGATCACGAGGATCTTTACACCCATCTCACTAAGTTCTACGAACTTACTGGTACACTAGGAGCATCTGAAGCTGAAGAAAAGGCAATTTTTATGAGATTGTTTCCATATTCCTTGATTGGTAAGGCAAATGATTGATATCTTGACCAACCCACCCAAATCATGACCAATTGGAATATCTTGGAATAAAAACTTATGAACAGATTCTTCCCGCATAATAGATTCATCGATGCCAAAACAGCAATCGCTGCATTCGTTCAAATACATGTTGCGTAAATGTCCTAATCATGAATTTGACGAGCTAACTAAAATTCACATTTTTTGAAATGGACTTCAGCCGCAACCAAAGATCTTACTTGATGCAATTGTTGGTGATTCTTTATTATCCGTAAGTGCAGAAGTTGCAGTCTCTATCATCAATCGTATGACTCTCAACAATCATCAAGTTTAGTACAAGAGAGGCACGACACACAGAAAACCTGGAATCTTAGAGTTAAGTGAAAAAGACGTGATCTTGGCGCAAAACAACCTTCTTACTCAAACAGTGGAAGAATTAACCAAGCAATTGTCCAAACTGCCACAACAGCTAAAGGAGATGCATGGAACAACGAGTAAACCGCAACAGGTAGGTTTTTGTGAGCTTTGCACAGGTGACCATCCAACTGGTTTTTCTCCCTCCAGCTAACGAAGAAGTTAATTATTTGGGAAATCAACAAAAGTAAGGTGCGTATCCAGCAAACCAGAATTATCACAGAGGTAACAATGCTAACTATGGACAAGGTTGGAGACAAAACGACACTAGATCATCAAATTGGCAAAACCAGTACCAGAGCCACAACCAGAACCTACCATAACACAATAGAACCGCTAAGTTAGAAGATACTTTGAACCAATTTATGCAGCTGTCCATGGCAACAAAAAAAATGGATGCTTCAATCAGGAATCTTGAAACACAAGTAGGACAGATAGCTAAACAATAGGCTGAATAACAAGGAGGAACATTCACTGCAAACATGCAAAATAATCCAAAGAAACATTGCAACACAATCACAAGAAGGAGTGGTAGAGTGATTGAAGCATAAGTTCATGAAACTGCGGAGAAAGAAAGAGTTATGGTTAAAAGAAGAGAAAGACAAGAGGAAGAAAATAAGAAGGAAGTAGAATAGAAAAATTGAGGAAGAGGTAGTTAAAAATTAGAAGAATTTGAGTGATAAGTGGAAAAAGCAGAAAACAAGAGAAGAGAAAGAAAATATGATCACTTCGCCTGCATAACCCCTACCATATCCTCATGCTCCTACCAAGAAGGACCAAGAAAAATATACGAGGTTCCTAGATATTTGGGCTTATAGACCATCCATTTTATGGAAGAGCCCACAGTGCGGTCCTCGATAGTGGCAAACGCGCCAGTGTCGTCGACCGCGAGGCGCGACGAGATGCTGAGAGGTTCCTGCTCGGCACAATCTTCGGGTGTGTGAGCTCGCTCAGCTCTATCTTTCTCGACCGGGGTGTCGGACTCGGATCCATCATCGATCACAATAACACCCTCAATCCTTGTGGTCATTTTTCCTGAAAAGCAGAGGAATACGGTGAATTCGACATCTAAGATCAAATTCACCCTTTCACCGCAAATCAAGTGAACCGACGAAGAGAGTGGCGAAGAGCCTCTTGACAAACTATCATCAATGCAAATTAGCGAGCCTCCCTTATCGACGGAGAGGCTCGTCTGCAAGGAGAATCTCCTCGACGCGAATTAGCGAGCCTCTCTTCCCGACGGAAAGGCTCTTCGACGTTTGAGCTCTCTCTAGTGGAACGCGGTGAGCCTCCTCAAACCTCCCCGACACGAGGCTTCCTCGCGATGGTCACACAGTCAAGGGAAGCAAGGCTTCCCGGGACCTCCATCATAGGTCCCTGAGACCTTCATCGGAAATTTCATGGAGTTTCACAGAATCCTCATGAACTTCCCGGCGACTTCATTGGAAACTTCATAGGAGCGTTGGAAACTTCATGAGTTCGCCAGAAACTTCATGAATTTCGTCGGAATCTATGCGTTCCCTGGTAACTTCATGAGCTCCTCGGACGAACCGTCGGAAAATGCATAAAATTGTCGGAAAATTCATAAAATCTGAAGAAAAGACCGAAGACTTAATGAATGAAGATTATGGACGACGGAGAGAGATTGACGGCGGCGGCGGCGACGAACGTTCTTTAGAGAGCGGAGAGAGCTTGGGAGAATTCCTGAGCGAAATGAATGGGGTGTGCAAACGAAGCAGGCTTACCCCCTATTTAAAACCCTAGCACGAGAAACACTAGGCACTCAAGTGCCCTTACTCGTAGTCAACCTAGGCATTTATTGTTCTTGACACGTGGCCCTAAGAGACACCACGCACGTCCTTTCAACTCCCTCTCCTACTTGTGACAAGAGATGCTTGTTTCCTTCCAGTTTCACCGCATCGTCAGCCACATCGTCCACTAGGGATGTACCACCGAGTAAATAGAAAAAGAAAACCCAGGACTACATCTGACGGACAGGCCTCCCCGCGAGCTCCTCACTTGTCGAGCAGTTCTCGCTCTCGGCCACACGCTTCGTCACTAAGTTTAGTGTTTTGGACACGAACAACACTCCCCCAGACAGGTCCTCGACATTTGACCTGACTCTTAAGTCATTACTCCTCTACTTCAGAGCAACGACTTAGGGGGGCTCCTATTTTGGTCTAGGGAAGAGGCTAGCCCACCGTCGGGTATGGCCCAACTCAGCCCCTCGTCGGGGAAGGCAAATGAAGGCTCAATCCATCAACGCACACGGGGAGCTTTCACACGTCTCCCTCACGGTCTCCACGTGCCCCCCACGCGGGGACACGTCATCAGGAAACTACTCACCTCCCGAAGATCACAGGGCAATTGACCTAGGGCGAAGGCCACATGTTGGTCTTTCCTACGCCACGTAAGCCCCGAAAATTACTCGTATTGGGCCTTACAATCCAACCCAGTACAAAGTAACCGTTGGCTCAGCGATGGGGCACGTTATAAATATCCTCTTTCACTAGATGCTCAGGTATTCAATTATCTACACACTTTCTCTGTACTTGCTCTTTCTACTCTGTCTCTTACTTTGGCATAAGAGTAACTTGCAGGTACACCCCCTCCTCTTCTCCACCACCGGCGAATTAAAGAGTTTGTGACGTGTTGTTGTCTGCTGATCCTTTTTTGATCTAGTAAGATCAGTTTTGAGTTATCATTACCATCCTAGAACAATATAATTTCTAGATTTTTTCCACTTAATACTGCAGCTGGTTCTAGACCTAAAAAAATTGAGCAGATAAAGAGCGCACGTGTTCCACTTCTCACTCATATAAGTTACTCATTTTCCCTTTCAAGTCTAAGTTATTGAGATCTTCCTCAATCTTTTGAATTTTCTCCACAAAATTTTTGGTATGATTTTGATGGCAATGCTTTATGGAAGTCTGGACTCTTTTCAATTATTAAGTCCAACTCTCCACTTCCACCCCCACAATGGTTGTATCGATTTCACTTACATTTGACAAATTCATGGTAGCCTTCAAGCTCAAACGAATATTTCAACTATAATGATTCATCAAGTTTTGTTGCTTGTCTTATGATCGCTTGTTTATTTTTGTTTATTTTGTTTATTTTTTTATTAGAATCTTCTCATTGTTATATCTCTATATTGTTTTAGTAGTTAAGTCTTCACATAATAGTCTAGTTAGAATCATGACAGAACTTTTTTTTTAGAATTCATTTTGAGTGACGTGACTCACATCAAATAACTCAAATTAACGATGTAAAATTTAAATTTTATATTCTTGACTCGAGTCATTTTCTCATTTGACCCGAATTGCCATTTTTGCTTAGACTATTAAAAAAGTCAAAATGTTACTCATGTCTAATGCATTTCTCTAACACAAAAAAACTAGCGAAAAAAATACTCTCTCCAAAACTCAACTCGCAAAAGTAATTGGGCATTGCTTGATAAGAGACTTTCAAATGTCCATTCATATTTTTCTGAAACACAACTTTCTCTCAATTTAAACTTAAAAAGAAAAACCAAACTAAAAAAATATTATTTTCCGTGTTAGAATTTGTGAGTTACAAAGAAATATGTGTTCTTTATGAAATTCTCATCTTCAGCTGTAGCCAGTGTTTTAATTTCAACTTAGACTGTGAAAAGATATTGTAAGAAGGTTCTAAGAAGGTTCATTAATGTTTGTGTCTTCTGAGTTTTGCTTTCAATTAAAATTGAAGATTCGAGGTGTTTCATTGTTCTAGAGGCTGACTACTTAAGAAGAAAAATTCGTTCCTGTCCAAAAGAAAACTCCTGTAAGATCAAATGAAGATTGTACAAAACTTTAGAGTTCAAATTCCTATGATAGTTCAAAGACTTAATATAAGGTCGAGTTAAGATTGTTGTGGACTAAATTATGGGTTGATATGGTTCTAAGAGGGTAAATTCATTTTTGTGAGAAATGCTCTAATACGGTACAAAAGAATCTTCACGAGAAATAATAAAAATCCAACAAGCAAATGCATGACTATTTATTTGACTAATTAAGTTGTATTCCAAAATTTTAAAACCTCAACAAACTAATTCATTCTCCAATCTTACAAAATTTTAAAACCTCAACAAATTAATTCTTTCTCCAATCTTCTCTTAAGCAACAACAAACTAATTCATTCTCCAATCTTCTCTTAAGCAACAAGGGTACTGGCAGTTGTTGATTCACTGCAATAGTTGTAAAGAAAACAATAATTAGATATGAGGTGAAACAGAATAAGTTGATTATACATCTAAGATACTTATCACATATATGAATTTAAGATAAATACACAATAGTTGTAGAACAAAAAAGTATTAGAATTAAGAGTTAACAATTCTCAAGCTTCAAAAACAAGCTTATGAAATCTCTAAAAAACGAATATTTGACAGAGGATTAAAGACTGAAACTTACTATTTCCATACTGGTGGAAGCTTCTTTGTCTTCTTGTAGTAACGAGCAAGACGATGGATCCTGCTCTCGACCAAAATAAGCCTGAACTTAGAATCCTTGTCCTTCCTGTTCCTCTCCAAATGCTTCCTGATTGAGACAGCCTTCTTGATCAAGTGATACAGATCTTCAGGAATTTCAGGAGCAAGACCTAGGAAAACAGAAAATAAAGAACAATTTAGCCATTAAAATTGAACACACTAAGTGGGCTACAATAATGAACCAATGTGTCAAACATATACCATGAGCCTTCAATATGCGCAGAATCTTGTTTCCAGTCACACTCTTAACCTGAGCAATTCCATGGGAGTCACGAAGAATAACACCAATTTGAGATGGAGTTAAACCTTTCTTGGCAAACTTGCAGATGGTTTCATCAACCTGTGCAATTCAAGAAAATCAAACAACATCAGCAACAGAATTCCGATACCATTACCATTATTCACAAATTCCGTGATAAACAACAAATTGGGGTTAATTCACACGGTGACCCTTCCCAAACACAGTTCTTTAGCATAAAAATAATACAAAACAGGAATCAGGAAATAAACTGCTACTCTCTCAATACCCAATTCAATACAAAATCAAAGAATTAATTCATTTAAATCTAAGAAATAAAGCAAAAACTAATTGAAATTCATCTGCGATTAACCAAAAAAAAATTTTAAACAGTACTCAAAAGTTTATCTTAATCTCTTAATTGAAGAAGCTAATTACCCAATCGATCATAAAGACTAAATTGCACACTAAAGTAAAACAAACACACATTAAAAACCCTAGTTACAACAGAGCTGGATTTTCAGTCAAACACACATTAAAAACCCTAAATTATCAGATTTTCGATTACAGATTTTCAATCAAAATAAATCAACTAAAAGAAGTTTCGATTTCATACATCCTGGGATGAGATCTTGAGCCAAGATGGAGCTGTTCTCCTGTAAGGAAGAGCTGAACTGGAAATACCCTTACTGAACAAAAAAAATCACAAATGTTAGAAAATAAGATATTTATAATTTTGATAAATATGAAAACCGAAACAGCATACCCATTAGAGTGCAAACGACCCATGATGAGTGACGGAGAGAAAGAACAACAAACCCTAACTTTCGTGCCGGTTCAAACAAGAGAAGTAGTGAGAGAGTAGTTAGATATATATGAATACTGAAAACTAGGGTAACTTGGTTTGGGCTTTAACGTAAATGGCCCAACTTTCCTAATTCAAGTTTTTATTAAAATAACACCCAACACATCCTTTCCAATATTAAAATACAGTATGATTATCTTCTTTTAAATTTATAACTATTAACATAAATTTTGAGTGTTAGATAAAAAAAACCATAAATAATGTCTCTGTGATTTCAATATATTGATTAATGGATATTTTAAAACTAATAAGGTGTCTAAAGATGTTTACAAATGGTTAATTCTTATAAACAATTCATAATCATATATAAATCATATATTATAATTGATTATTAAAATTAATTGTTATAATTAGATTTTATTTTTTAAATTTTTTTATAAATCAGTTATTAATCGATTATATTCATAATATCTTTTATTTAAAAAATTTAGAAAAGAAAATTTAAAAAAATTCATAAAAAATTACTTAATTTTCAAAATCATTTTTTATTTTCTCCTGCAAAAAAGACGTATTTCTTGTATTTTTGAAATTTTAAATTTTAAATTTCAATCAACTTTAACTTTTTCACTTTTTCTTTTAAATTTTAAATTTCTTCATTTTTTCTCTTTCATTTTAAAATTTTCTATTTTTATCTTCTCTTTTCCTTTTTATTTTTCTGAGTATAAATTAAAAAAATTGAATCATTTCGGTAACAAAAGAATACAACAATAAATATGTTATACCACAAATAAATACATAGCGCTATGAATCATTTCTGTAACAAAAGAATACAACAATAAATACATAGCGCCAAAAGAAATTAACTTTATATTTCATTTGGATGATTTCGATTACAAGCTTTGTATGAAAACAATATGAATGTAGAAATTTGTTCTATGCAGGGAGAATTTGTGCGTGCTTTGGGAGGTGCTGTTGCAACTTTATCGCTTCTTGGAGTTCGTTTGGGACACAATTCATCATTCCTTCAAGGGCCTACATTTGCGCCACCTCGCATCAGGGAGACCATTTGGTGTGGTTGCACAAACTCGTCAACCGAAGAAGGTAACATCATATGATTTTCCTTAGGATCATAGAAGTTTTAAATATGATTTTTTGTGTAGCTGACTCTAAATTATGCTTTGTGAACACATCTGCAAAATGTAGTTTGTTCTTTCCATGAAATCTAAGGGTAGTAGAAAGAATCAAGAATACAATTATAGGCATTATTATCTTATCGGGAATGTGCTTAAGTTATGGAATGTGCTTAAGCTATAGCAGAATTGCATATATGAATTCAGTGTGTATCAGATACATATTCATGCAGGCGGTGCATATTAAGTCGTATAAGAACCGTGAAATTGCGTTAAGTCTCTATTAAACACACATTCATAAACTTTATATTTGTTCTCTTATTTTGAACATTCTTGAAGAAGTTCTTTTTAACTTCTTATTTTCTCAAATAGTTGTAATTTTTGATCGTTTTTTCTCTAGTACCCTAACCCTAAACTCAAAGAGGTTAGAAATGGACATAACCTATTTCTATAGGATGGTTTTAAAAATCCCAGAGTTCAAAGCAAACAACTGCCTCAGTGTGTATAAATCAAACCAGACAAATTGAATTAAAAATAGTTCAAAATTGATAAAACAATAATGCATGGATACACTCAATGTAATGAGTAGTAAACAATCATCTGAAGGTTGAGTACAAGTCTATCAATTCCTTTTTATCCTTTGCTTTCAATTTGTAAGTCACTTTTCTAATGATCAAGTTTCCTCGAATGGTGTTTTTGGTTCATTTGTCCAATGGTATAGTTGCAATTTTTGTAAATTTGAAAAAAATAACAGATACAAACTCATTCATTAAAGACACATTATTGAACTAATACAATGGGGAAGAGTAATTATAAGTTTTGTTACTCTTCATAAGCATACATTTGGGAAAAAAACTTATAGAAATTAAAAAACTAGCTACATGTATTTCCATATATTATCATTGTAGAAAAGATCATGCATGTTAAAATCATTATTTTGTCAGGTCCATTATACTTTCATGTAATATCTTTTCCTTGCTTGTTCTTGATCTTGATTTGTGAAACAATTATGCATCTCTTCAGTGCTTGCAAAGCGTGCTCTTAGACTTTGCGCAGGCATATGGTCTTCTTGTTGATTGTAGAAGTCTCTAAATACTGACGCGAATCTCGGGGGTTTAACATACAGAGTGGGTGAAAATTTTGTTATCCACCTTGTAACCCCCATTGCGTGAGCTTTCATTCTTCTCTGAAACTCTAATTCCTGTTGATTTCCTGGAACTTGCACCGACTGCTGCACTTGAGGTTGGTAGAACTATTCTCCATTTCCTATTGGTTTATCTTCTTGATCTTGTTGAGCTGCTCCTGATATGTGATTATGTTGCAGCCTTCTAGTTGTTGGAGCGTCGATATGTACTTTTGGACCTATCATCTCATCATCGGGGTAGATAGGTATTATGTCTCTCCTACATAATTCATTAATAATACAAAAATGTCCACAAGCTCGTTGTGTAGCGTTACCCATATATTTAATATTTTCATAAATTAAACGCCCACACTAATAGGCTCACCCAATAAAAGAGCTAATAATCCTAAACACTTCTTCACAATGAATTGTGACTGGTTAGATGCGGCTTCTAGAGACTATAGGAAAAAAATGAAGCTCATTCCCTAGGGATTTGGAAAAATCAAGTGGTTTTAAGTCGCAACGCTAAGCCACACTCAATCACTCATTCCTCCCCTGGTCTACAGAAAACCTCAAGCATTTCTTGGGCCATGGATTTGTTTATCACACGATGCTCATTTTTATAAGTCCTATGAGCATAAACAGAAGGAGGTTAAAGATTTAGAAGAGAATTAATAGCACTAGCAGAGTAATAGATGTACTTACCTCACACATAGGAAGTCTAAGTGCCCACATTGCTAAAATTCACATTTGCATATAACTCGAGGCCTATGGTTGTATTGGTTTCTTGAATTAAATTATTGAAACTTACCCAATGTCGCTGCTACAACATTTCCACCACTTCTTTAAATCCTTGCATGCAAACATACACACACACACACACTATCTTTCTCTCTCCCCCTCACACAGACACATACACATACAACGTGGCATTCAACTAACATTAGATATTTTCCGCATTAGCTTCAGAAAGAAACTTGATATTGGGAAAAGTTTGAGCAATAGGTGCAGGAGAAGTGCATGAAGATGAACCTCTTGTAACTCTTCCTCTTTTTGTAGCCATTATACCTGTAACAACACAACAAAATAACACTACACAGAGAAAAGTTAAGCAGTACATAATGGTCATATAGAATTTATGATGAAGAAAGAGTATGAAAAGAGTTATAAGGAGAAGAAAGTCAAAAATCTATATTTATAGGACATTTTCCTGTTATCATCACGCACGTCATACGTCCATTGCGCGATGCTAACGGTCTTCCAAATTTCTCTCAGCCAACGTTTATATCACACGTGTTATGCATTCATTGCACACGTGATACCAATGGTTCCCATATTCCCTCAACTTCTCAATCGCGCGTGTTATGAAGCCATTTCATGTGTGATATAGCTCTTTGGGCTGCGTGAATTTTCTAGGGGCTACCTTCTTTTCTTCTTCTCTTTTTATCTTTTTTTCCTTATTTCCTTTTCTTTCACCTGCTTATTTTTCTTGCAAAAAAAACATAAAAAATCTACATATTTTCATAAACAAAATTAAACTCAAAAGTTTAAAAACATACTTATTGATGGGTTGCCTCCCACATAGCGCTTCTTTATCGTCATTAGCTTGACGGTTCATGCCTAAGGCACGTTAGACACAAAAGATACCCTCACACTGGATAAGTGGCTTTTGTTCTTTCCTTTTGTTGAACTTGCTAAGTTTTTCTTCAATCTAGTAGCATGTTTCCAGATCATCTACATACGGTGTCGTTTCATACACATTAAGCACCATTTTTTTCTTATTGAACTTCAAGCTAAGTTCATTGGTTTCCACATCTATTAATGCCTTCTCGGTTACCAAGATTGGGCATCTGAGAATAATTGAACCACATGTGTCTTCCTTCATGTGGACTACCATAAAATTTGCAGGAAAAACTAGGTTGTTGACATGTACTAACACGTCTTGTAAGATACTATGAGGATGAGTAACAGATAAATCAACTAAAGTGAAAGTCATATTACTCAGTATGATATCTCCCAAATTCAATTCTTTAGCCTTATTAAGGGGCGTTACATTGATACTCGATCCTAAATCACATAGAGTGTGTGAGATCTTCCCCCCACTAATAGTGCAAGAGATGGTAAACTTACATAGATCTTTCAGCTTTGTTGGCATTGTTTAGGGCACTGTCGTATTGCATTTCTCTGTCGTGTTTACCTGCTCTTTATCCAGGTTCTGCTTTATACCATTTAGTAATGCCATCGTGAATTTAGAAGATTCTGACATTATCTCTAAAACTTCATGAAAAGAAATACTTACTTGAAGCTTGGTTAACATCTCTTTAAACCTGGCAAACAACCCTGCATCATCTCCCTGTAATGGTTTCTTCTTAATGATTGGATATGGCGATTTTATGTAATCGGGTAGCTCTGGGTTAGGGTCATTAAGAATTTGTTTCATAGTCCTCCTCCAAGGGGAGTTTTTGTCTACCAATTGCTCAATGGTGACCCCCTTCTCAACTTAATCACTCTGATTTTCACTTCCCTTTTTTTATGTCCTGACTTCTTCCTCTTTAATTAAGTCCTCTTCCATTATTTCATCATCGCCCATGTTGGTGATTACCACAAAACCTTATTCTAAAGCCTTGCATGTCTCATTTTTAGGATTATCCAGAGTGTTCCCTGTAAATCCTCCACTAGAACTAGGTAACACAGCGATTTATCAAGACAACCAACCAATTTACATCTCTAA